GTAGTGCAATATTGCTTATAGGGTATTGGTGTTTGGAAAGAACAATGGGCAGGCTGCAGAAACTATGTAGCTGAAACTGAAGCAAAAAGCATCTTTGTTTAGGAAGAAAATATTCCAGAAAACTGACAATGATGTGGATTACATTCAATGCAGGCTAGAAAATGAAATCAAAACTAATTTTCTTGATTCAGCAGGCAAGCCCTTGGCAATCACCATTCTTTCTGTCTCTATGACTTTGACTACTCTAGTTGTCACTACTTACTGAAGAAGAGAAAACTATGGCAGAGATATTAAAATCTCACATGCCAGACTTATGAAGAAATGGATTTGCAAAAAGTGACTCTCATGGAGAAGAGATCAATTCCAGAGAAGTTTAGGAAGATGTCTTGTTAACACTTGATAACTAGCTGGTCAGTTAAGCTCACTTGGGAGAGCATGATGCTGATAACACAAAGGTCAAGGGTTTGAATCCCTGTAAAGCCAGCCACCCAAAAAACAAAAACAAAAAAAACAAAACACTTGATGCCTACAGGTGTGGGGCTGGTGAAAGAGGAGGTTTGGCTTGAGTGACTGGATAGTGATTGCTTTCATAACAGAAGAGAATATAAGAAGAGCAGGTAATGTATGAATAAAGTTCAGCCAAAAGGATGAAATGGCAATTAGAGACATATGTATGTGCGCACACATGCACATGCACACACACACACAGAAGTCCCTTAACACTATTTTGCACCTGTTTTCTTTTTGTATAGTTGGGATAATGTAGATGTTCTTGCCTATCATAAAAGAATGTTTATATACATTTCAGTCAATATGTGATAAGCATGCTTTGGAAATTATGGGATAGGTGAAATATTTGTTTTATACATTATATATAGGTATATAATTTCATTTTTGAAAATGTTAGATGTAGTCATATTATTGGTGAGACCACAAATATATGACCCGCAGTCTCTCACAAAACCTAAAGTAACAAGCAAGCTTTTTGGTGATAGCCTCACTTTTGTTTTTTTCTCTATTCCTTGAGCTTGTTTTCAAATGCTGTTGTAGACGGTCCCTGTTGTATTTCAATACCTTTTTTCTCTTTCAGCATATATTATTTTAGTTACTCATTCTAATGAAAGCTAAGAAGTGAAAAAAGAAAGAAAAACCCTCCCAAATATTCCATTCTCCCTAGAGGCAATCCCCCCAAAAAAGACAAAGGAAACAAAGTGAGGTGGATGTTCATGTGGCACATAAGTATACTAATAAAATAAACATAAGCATATATGATATTTAGGTAAAACATATGCAATGATGGTCATGTGATATAAATCTTATCATTTTTGTTGGGCAATATGTAAAAGCTTTCCTTTTCTATCCAAGGAGACAAACTCAGTAATCCATAGAGATACTTCTACAATGAGAATTAATTTATTTTCTAACACATATGGACTAATATATTTTGATCAAATATTCACAATTAATATTCAAAATCCCCTACAGACTTATGTGGAGAGTACCAAAAGTCTATAGCTGTTTCTGGAATGAAATAGTGAGCTCTTCTCCCACTGCTATGGCTGTGTGGTTTTTGGTTGAGATACTAAGCTAAACATCACTTTAAGTCAGTGGCCCCACCAAAGAAAGGAATCATACATACCAAAGAATCATATATTACCACTCTAATTGCTAAAATGAAATGTTGAATTATGAAAATCAATTTTGTAAGTACCAATAATTTATAAAGGGGTGGCTTAAAAAAAGTCAGCCAGGTTACCTACATAAACTGCAAAGCAAACAAACTGAATTTTCTTACTGAGAAGCCTATCCTCATTTTTAAATTTCCCATGACTACATGGAAATTCTTTCACTTACCAGAAAGACCTGGTTGGCACTTTCACTGAGAGTTGAGTCATCTGGGCTGTCAACAGGTGTCTGACGTGTAAACTTTGAATCAAACTGACTCACATCCTCTTCAGATTGCTTTATAAAAATGAAATGATTAGAAAATCATGACTAGTCTATATAATATACAACAGTCAAACACATTGCAAGCTCTAGGTAGAGCTGTTTTTGCAGGAGTTGACTGTAATAAATATCAGGATAGTTTAACAAGCACACTGAAGAGAAAATGCAGGTGGAAAGTATCAAGAGTCAAATTACTTCTTCAAATTTTAAACATGCATTAAAATAGATTTTAGTATACAGTTATCATTCCTATTAAAAATCTGAATATCAATTTTCCCGTCTCACAAAGCTTTAATATGCCTTGTCCACTGGCTAAATCCCTGTTTAGAGATCATTTGCTCAGCGGGCTGCAGCAGGTTTGTAATAAACCTGAAAAACTACTGAAGCAGAGTTAAAACACATATCACACATATAAGATGCTCCAGTATAAGTTTTTTCCCATGGCTTATTTCACTCCATTAGATTTCTCAGGGAGCAAAAATAATATTCTACTCTGCATGAGTATATTTCTTGCAAAAGAATAGTATCACCTAAGTTCTAACCACCAGATTTATTTCTTTAATTCCTTCTTTCTTTCCCAATCTAGTTAGATTCTAAAGCCAAATATAGGGGAAAAAATACCAGTTTAGAAAATCTGACTTAATAATAAAAGCTTACCACATTGACCTTATTTGGAAAATATACTTCTGAATAAAAAGTTCAAAACATAGTAACAATGATCAACCCAGTAACACAGAGCACTCTTAAAGCCCAGATTGTGATCTCTAAATTCTATTTCCCCCTAGAAGGAACCAGCACTCCTTGGAGAAATGGCTGGTTCCAAGTGTGGAGTAGGAAATGTACAAGGTAAGAAAAGGACATCAGTTTCCTTGTTTTGCTTTCTGGTGCAACATCAGCCTATGTGGTCATGTCAAAAGGACTGAAAAACCAACATGAAGATGCACCCAGTGTCCAAAGGTGGGAAAAATTGAGCATCAATAAAAAGAAATGCAATGGATTAAAACACAAATATGTTAAAATGCATGAGTTCATAATGATACTAAAAAAGAAACCACAAAATTTATTGGTCAATTTTGGAACATGCTAGGGAACTAATTCATTATTTTGAAAACTGGGAAAGAATCAAACATTTATCCTGCCTTTCCTGTATGAACTGTACCTTGGATAACCAAACAATTGATGAAAGAGTGTTTCTTTATGGAAGAATTCCAGCTAATAAAGAAAAAGTAGGAATATCAGTTAGAATAAGACCATTTTGCAAGCCCCTAATGAAATCATGGAACTCAGGCCAGAGTTTCTCAGCCTCAGCACTACCAACATTTTGGGCCTGATAATTCTTTGTTGTAGGGGTTGTCCTGTGCTGGCCACTACCCACTAGTTGTGACAACCAAAATGTCTCCAGACATTGCCAAATTGCCCCTGGTTGAGAACTAGTGACATAAGCAATGATCAGTGACCACTAACGTCACTAAAAGAAATTAAACTACACATTATACCTCCTGATCAAAGTATTGTATGCATCAGATCAAGCACCTAAACCTAACTACCAGTTTTTGGAAATACAGGGAACAGGCAAACATGATCAGTAACACCATGGAGATAAAATCAACAATATCAAAGTGTGAGGAATTCTACAGGACAAATGGCCCAGTTTTGAGAGGGGATATCTGCAAATGAAAAGAGACCAAGAGATAGTAACCAAACTATGTATAATCCTTGACTGAATCCTTATTGAAACAAACAGGAAAAAAAAGAAACAACTCGGGGAATTGTCAATTTTTTAGGTGTGATGATGGCATGGTGGTAATATTTATGTTTAAAAAAGAATCTGATCATTTTCAAAGCTGGGCAGTAGGTATATGACAGTTAATTATCCTTACAATCGCACATATATATTGACATTTTAAATCAGGTCACCTGTGCTCCATGATCAAATAATAATCATTATTCTCCTCCTCCTCCTCCACCTACATCCCAAGAAATGAGAAAAGAAACTATTTTCTCAGAACCAAGGTGGGAGAAAGACAAGAACTAACACACTAACTCATTCACTCATAAACATATTATTATGGGTGAATTGTGTCCCCCCACACCCCAAATTCATATGTTGACATTCTAACCCCTAGATCCTCAAAACGTGACCTTATTTGGAAAGGGTCATCATAGATATAATTAGTTAAAATGAGATCATACTTGAGTAAGGAGAGACCCTAAACCCTCCTTATGGTCTTCCTTTTAAAAAGGGGAAATATGGCCACAGATTTGCACACAGGTAAAACACCATCTGAACATGAAGGCAGAGATCCCAGATAATAAACCTAAAAGCCAATGAATGATAAAGATTGCCAACAAGCCACCAGAAACTAGGAGAGAGGCATGGAAGATAGTCTCTCTCACAGTTCTCAGAAGGAACCGATCCTGCCAACTTGATCTCGAATGTCTAGCTTCCAGATCAATGAGACAATAAATTTCTGTTTGTACCCAGTTTACAGTACTTTGTTATGGCAAGCCTAGCAAACTAAGACACATATATTACACATGTATTCTATATGTTGACAAAAAAATTCCCAGAAAATCAAATTTAAAATGGAATTAAGCAAAACAAAACAAAGCCAAAAAAAAAGAAGTCCCAACTACTTGAAATATTTGTCTTAGGTAACCAACTTAAAAATAGCTAATAAGTCATCAGTTGCCACTGGCATTGGTTCCTGAAGAGACAGTACAGAACAAAGATTCTGAATAGAAAAGAGGATAGATCAAAGTTCTTTGAACTGTTAATAAATATATTTCTGACTGCTCTGAGATTTTTTCTTATTCTAAAAAAGTACCTGGTCTCTCAAATTAATATGCTTTCATGTATACATACCAACAGAGGTTTAAAGGGAGGCTCTACCTTCCGAGCCAGAAGTTCTTCCCAGTTAATGTGTCTGAAGAATGGATGAGCCTAGAACAAAAGGAGCAGAAAGAAAAGCCGAGGGGTATACACTATACCAGATTGACAAGTTAACTGCCTTTTTGAACTTACAAATCACAAAATAAGCTAAACTTATAAGCAACTACATACATCCATCACAAACACATAAAATTCGCATTATCTTCCCCCATACATCAAACATGCCATTCTCTACCTGAACTTCTCCAGCATCCCCAGGACCAGCTCCAAGACGAGAAGCAGCATTTCTTTTCAGCAGCTTTAGGGAGGGAAAAAAACACCAATGAAGACCTTACTTAGTCCAATTGATTTTTTTTTTTTTTTAAGAATTTGCTTGTCTACTTTGCCTAAAGGAAATATTATTTATTTTTCTTCCAAATTAATTTACTAATTACTGTTGTTTGAGAATAAAAAGACAAGAAAATCTTTAAACAGATTTGTTCTTTGCCTTCAAAAATGCAAGCTTTTTATGTTCAATATCTGTGTGTGATTTTTTATTCAAAATACACATATAATTCTATCTACTTATATGCTAATTGTTTAGGCTTGTAGTGTGTGTCCATTTAAGAATCCTACCTTTTTAAGCAGATCTCTGGCTTCTTGTGTGAGGTAGGGAGGCAGATTGAGTTTACATTTGAGGATTTTGTCAATTGTTTTCTTTCTATTCTCTCCAGTGAAAGGGGGCTAAAAGTAGAAGAGAGGAAAATTAGCATTTAAAAAACAAATTTCAAATAACAATATCCAGTTCCTGAATTAGTCAGTTATGCATGAAAATCAGAAATGTATGCTGTGAAATGAGCTGATTGCTAAAGACCTGTAGTTTTTAAGCAAGGGACAGAGGAAGTAGCAATGTCCTGGAAGAAAGCTTGCATTTCCATTAACTTACTGTTTGATAATTGGTGAGATGCATGATTTTATGCTTCAATTTCTCCATTTATAAAATAAGGGCATTATCTATTCTACATATATTTCATAGAACTGCCATAACAGATCATTTTAAAAAATGTTTTTAAAAGTGTGGGATCCTATATAATCATAAGGCATTATTAGTATTGAACTGCTGATAACAAATCTTTGGACTTTGAAAATAACTCCATTGATCACATTTTCAAAAAGCACAGGCCATAATACATGTAGCTTTTAACTGTGCACCTACTGCTCCAGTCAGCATGTCATACATTAATGCTCCCAAACTCCACCAATCCACAGCACGATTGTGGCCACTTCTCATCAAGATTTCAGGGGCCCTACAATGAGAAAAATAAAACGCCTAAAAATTCATCTATTTACATATCATCTGAATTAGAATTTTAAAAACAATATACAGAGCCAGTAATCATACAGAAAAATTAGACACTATTACTTAAACCAGGTAAAAGTTAGGTATTACCCCTAAACCAGTTATATTTCTTTTAACACGCAGCTCACATGTATTCTATTGTTCCGCAAAATGTGTGTGTGACTGTTCCATCATGAATAGATTCTTTGCATAGTCCAAAGTCTGTTAGTTTCACATGACCTACAATGAAAGATTACAGCATGATTATTCTGAGAATTCTAAGTATGTGCAGTGTTTGAACATATCCCACAAGATAATAATCTATCCTTACATTTAACTTTTCTTGCCTTAAACTTTTCTTGAAGATGTTGAGAACTAACAAGGTGTCATCCATAAAATGGAATGCTAACTCTTTTAAGGCTAGGGTGGAGTCACCTTTCGCCAATGATATAATCTATCTAGTAAAGAAAAAATAAAGATAGAGAAAAAAATGAAACAGCTTGTCTAAGGCTCTAGGTTTACCTATACACAGAATCCCCTATCATCCCAAGAAAGAGAAGTCCCAGGAAAACTTCTTTATGAAGTCTGGTTTAAGTATGTAGACCCTAATCAACATATTTTGTACCTTTTAAACAAAGTTGTTCCACTATACTTCAAATATTTAGCCTTTATCATAGTGAACTGTGACTTGAGAGTTCTTAAAATGGTCTCAGAAAGTCACTATAACAAGTTAACTTATTCTGCCAACGCTACCAGTTAGGGGAAAGAAGTGAAATTGCTATATAGTATAGGACAATCATTTCTGATTCAGAAAGTGAAAAACTCACACTTTACACAAAGATCATTCAAGTTTAGCTTTACTGAACTGTCATTAGGTAACCAATGGTTCAACAACTCCAGGGGCCCTACTATTCAAGGCTCATTTCAGAGAAAAGAAAAGGCAATGGCTTATTGATTCAAATATACATATATAGTAGTCCCTGATACATAAGAATTATGCCCAGAACCACCTGATACACTCAAGCTTATGGATCAAAGAGGTTAACTATTCTATCACTCCCCTATTCTATCCTGTGCCTTAGAATTTAGAATCAGAATCCAGGTTTAAAGGGAGGAGGTGATGATGGGAGGAAAGAAGAGACACTGATTCCTGTGATGTACATGGTTAAGTACATCAATTCCCCTTTAAAAAAAAAAAGGAAAGGGGGGAAAAAAGCACAATTTGGAACATTTATATTGGCCTCAGTTGTCTATACACCATTTTCTGTCCAAGAGTTTGAAACAGTTAACTACCTCATAGACCATTTTATAGACATCTAAGGATCTGCAGCTGTTACCAGACCCCTAAAAACCTGAATTGGCTGGTTGCTCCTTCTGGGTGTGAGTCAATTGCCAAATCTACCCAGCCTGCATTACTCTAGCATAAATTAAGCTGTCTGTAACAGCATGCAGTTGTAGTCAAGGCTCACTTTGCTATACCTATATCTGTACAGAATATTAGTCTCTCTGATGTTTATGCTTGTTGTTGCAAGCAATAGCAAGAATAAACATGCCTACTACTAAACATCTTATTTGCAAGGCTACATCAAATATTTTGGTTCAAGTCCAATCCTTTCTTTTTTCCAGCATTTGTAAAACTTTTCATAAAAAGTACTGCTTGTAATATTTCTCTATTTCCATCATTAAAACTCAATTTATTGAAGAGTCACTTTTCAATTTAAGGAACAAACCAAAATTAATGTTTGGACTGGCTTTTGGCTCACAACACTTCTTGTAAGGATTTTTTTTTTTTAATGAAAAGCTATAAAGAGTAAGAATTAAACCAAAAAAAGGCAGTTGAGTGGCTATTATCCCCAACTCCCTCTAATCTCATCAACCGTAGTACCTGAATACCAAACATCAACAAGTATTAAGATGCCATAAATTCTAAGCAAGGAAATGTATAAAATACAGAGATGACTATGGGGCTTTGAAAATGGCCATGACCTGTGTGGGAGGATTTAGAGATGATTATTTACTATAGAATTGTTTACGGTATATCTCCACCTTGGTGATTAAGCATGATATTCTCCGGCTTCAGGTCTCTGTAGATGATCCCCTTTTGATGTAAATGCCCCAAAGCCATGGAGATTTCTGCCAAGTAAAAGCTGGAAACAAAAGTGATTTAATAAAATTAAGAAGAGTAATCTACCCAAAACAGTTTATGTATGGAGCAAAATTCCCTGAAAGAAACAGACATGCACCAAAGACCAAATTAGTGGGGAGAGGGGAGGTATGGGGAAAAGAAATGGCATAGGATGCTGCCATAAGGCATAGGATACTTGTGTTTCACTTGTTTCAGTGAAACTATAAAATGTTTTATTTCACCATTAGAACATATTGCTAAAATTGCAAAGATGTCAAGAATATGCTAATCTGTCACTGGTCAAGTTTTGTTCAGTCTGTGTAGGTATTAAGCCAATAGTCATTCAGATCAAAGCAGATTTCTCCCATCCACCCCCAACGTTAAAATCCCACAGGAAAAAGGACCTTTGTTATTCTCACAGATCAAGTCTTGATTTCAAAAGATACCTTAAAACCTGACCCTTAGAAACCCACTCATCCCTTACTTACTACAGCTGCATATTTATAGACATGTTATGCCCACAGTATCTGCCCTCCCTCTTGCCAGCCAGCCCACAACTATAAACTGTGTGACACTCAAATTTATCTACCTCAAAAGAATAAAGGGCTGAATCAACCCTGTCTGGATTCGAAAAGCACAAGGCACTGCAATATTGGCTGCATAACAATGTTGCAATCCTGCAGATTACTCCAGGATGGAGAGGGTGTGTCCTAGAGGACTGAGGCAGTTTCAAAGCCAGCACGACCACAAACACAGCCTCCAAAACGGCT